GAAGTCAATGGACCTTTACTGAGCAGATGAGCCTGTAAGGTACGGAGGGTTCGCCTGGCTGACTCTTTTTTTATAGGACGGATTCGTCTAGTTGAATCCTCTTATAGGTCAGGTTCGTCCGGCGGAATCTTCTTACAGATCTGGTGAGCAAAGAATGACGATGGCAAGGATACAGGCAATATATTTTCTTATCTAGATTGAGGCAAGACAAAGCTCGATTGTAGCTAATTTATTACACATTCCTTTTACAGAGATGCAGATGTGCTGAAGTTGATAATCAAATGAATAAGAAAATTATCTTTCTTATAGGATGCAAAATATTTGTTTTCTCACAGCTGGGAATGATGCGATCTCAGTAAAATATAGATCTCGAATTTACTTCCTAAACTATAGTTTAGCTTTAAGAATTTAAAACATTTCTCACATTACGAGAGAAATGAATAGGTTCTTCAAGGATTGAGAAAATAAGTAAGAATATGTACTGAATCCATTATCGTTATATTTCCCATAAAGGAAATGCAGCGCCTGGAGAGTGACGTAATCAGGTTTCCTCTAAGGAGTACATGAATGGTATACAGTACCGACAATGTCAAGAATTAGACACATGTGCAGCATCTGGGTATCTTTATTTGTAGACGTTTCTCCATCCAGTGCACTTCACTGATTACCTCATCTTCTGTATATAATTCTACATTCCTCACTTTATGTTCTTGTATTTATAAAGCCAACGGTTGGCGAAACTTCTACAAATGTTACACAAGTGTCTTCTTTACCTCTTAAGGAACGAAAGGCTAACTTCCTAGAGTCGAGACCCATTCTCCAGCATCAATGCACCTCCGCTTGATGTGAACAATGGCACAAACGGACCCTGTTTACATAGTGAGATGTATAAAGCTACTTCGAGTTAACTTCATGAAGAAAATATTCTCCTTAGATTTTCTGAGATGTAGCGAATTATGTACAGCGATCAAAGGCACCACCTTCTCGGTGTAGGTAGCATGCAGGGAGAGTTGAATCAATCTTCCTGGTAGACCCACCTGAAAGTCAGTGATTAGTAGTGATGACTGGATGCGGGAACCTAATGACAGACGCTCTCCAGGCAGGCGTTGTTAAACGTTCAGTTCCTCTGTGGTCTGGTAGTGAGACTGTCTGCTTGTCTGAGTGGTATATTCCCTCATGTAGTTAGGGAGCGGTGTGGCGAGTATGTAATTAGCTCCCGTTAATGCATTCCCTCGTTTGTCTTCCT